ATTTTACTTCGCACCAAGCGATCTTTGGGATGAAGGTTTATGTTTAGCGTCTGTGGACCTTGTGTAGAGATCCTTAAGTCCCTGAACTATGTGCCACCATAGGATTTTGTTTGTGATAGACATTAGCTAGTGGATGCACTTAAGCTCAGATTCATAGTTTTTACCTTAGCAAGTAACACATCTTTTCTTGGTATGGGATAGACATGGATTCCTTGTTTTAGCTCAAATGGTCTATGTCGGTTAATGATAAACTTCTCACAATAATGAACTACGGTTACTTTTAAAGTATCTCACAAAGTGCTTTAAAGTTATTAAGCTTGCATTAACAATGATTATTACTAATTTTTTAGCATTTTATCTTATGATTTTTCTTGTGTATTGCATGTCATGTAAAGTTTTTTTAGCATGATTTCCTAAGTTTTATGCATTGTTTTCTTTATTACACTTCATGTAATAATGCATACTTGTATCTACATTATTTCACTAACATAAGGTTTGACATTCGTACCTATCATACTCGTGGCTAGTTGATCTCTCTTGGAACATGAAGAGTAGTGAATCCTCATGATCCAAGGAGCGAGATACTTTTCCATCTTTTCTTTTATATCAGTTTTTAGACATTGTATATAGTTTATGGATTACGTCACAACCACTTCTTACGAGTTAGTAGATGGATCGTTGAGACTATGTTAGACTTCTACTTTTGTCAAACTCTTTTATGATATAAGATTGTTTCTTTGAAATATTTATTTCTACCATCTTGTATGATGTATGCTAAGTTACTTGTGTAGGACTTTTCGGGGTTCTATATGTCTTGTTATGCCTAGAGTATACTTTGAGTCATGACAATACCTATATTGTAAGACAATATATGTACAAGAATATATGCGGTCAATACTCAAAATATAATGAATATAAGGAAGATGAATTACATGACATAATAAAATGACGAGTCTAAAAACATATAATGTAATTACCAAGTAAACATAACATGATGCTGAGAATTTTATTCTGAAAATATAGTACAAGGTCAATGCAATATTATGAAGATTATAATTATAACATATGTAAGTGATAATTTCAACAAACATAAACCATGTAAGTTAAAACATGGAGTTCAGTGTATTGCTCCCACACTAAAAGAGAGTGTTGTACTTGCCGAGGTAAGGACCATAATCATTATCTTTGGTAGAACCACTAGTCAATTAAGATCAAGTCCTATGAGGGCACATAGTTATCAGATAAGGGGATTGCTACTAAATGTAACATGCATCTACTAATGCATGGGCTTTATTCCAATATCCACTTTGTGTTATGGAACTTCCAACGAAAATATGCATAATCATACTCATACTCATGTTCATATTAATATTCATTGAAATAGTAAAAATCTGATAATACTGAATCATTCTGGTAAATTTGATTATCATAAAAATAGCTCCTTGAAATCAACATTTCATACCATAATCATTGAGACACTTATCTGAAGCATCTAAATCATGATATTCATACATAATGCATGCATATTAATATAGTTTAAATCGTAATATCATAAAATACTTAGATAGCATGAGTCATGAAAATTTATTCACTGAAAATATTAAATTATGATTAAATCATGCATAATTATCAAATCAATTATGAGAAATAAGCTTAGATTCAATAGACCCCATAAGGAAATCGTGAAATCCTAAAATTTGTGTAGAATCATGAATAAAATACATGGCGCGACAACGGCCTTATGAAATGCGAGAGGAAATTTGATTTTTTGAAGTTTGATTCCATGGACTGTGAACTATTCCATGATCTGTCTACCCTCTCGTCCTGTCAAAGCCAAAACTTCCAATGTTTTCATCCTTCATTCCATGACAAGGTCTATGTCTTGTGAACCTTTGCACATGTCATGCAACCTTCCTTATAACCACCCTAATTCCAATTACTTAAAGCTTTAGTGATATATGGCCTATGGACCCATCCATGGTCAATATAACTCTCCATGGATCGTGTAACCCCGAGCCATTTGTCCTATCAACCTTCATTTTTCAATTCTCTGATGGCTGATCAATAGACTAGTCTACAGTCTATGATCCTTGTACAGACCGTTTAATTGTTTCTGGTCCTTGACTTGGGACTTCTTGAGTTTCCTTCCACAGACTGTGAAAGCCTATATGGTTCCATGAACACCTCTCATAAAGGAAAAGTTGCAAACTTTAGCAACATCTTTTGCATTTTCCCGCTTCAGTTGACTTTTGCATTTCTAAAATGTTACAACAGTTGATGGTGTTTGAGGCTGAGCTTTTTGGCGTCTGGATTTGAATTATCTTCTTCTATATATTTTGATTAATCTTTTGTTTTCACGAGATCCAGACATTGTTATGACCATCCCCGACTGATGTCGGGGACGGTATCCCTACAAAAATATGAGAAATATGTAAGAGCAGGACCATCATACAAAATAATAATAAAATAAGTGGATGCCACTTCATAGTCAAATACTCCCCTGATTTATCGTTTTGACTTGATATTAAAGTCTTGTGAAATACAAGGACTCGAATTTCTCTAATCCTCTTGTCTCTTGTGACTTCGGACAAATAATGATTTAATGAATTTGAACATAAATTAATTTTTCGCTATAAAGAAGAACAACTCAAAATGTAAAAGTGTTAGTTCCTGTACATAATGAATAATGCAAAATATCACACAAATAATAAATAAAACACATAAATACTATTTTAATAAAAGACAAACTGAATATATCACATAACATACAAACAATTATTGCGCGTCCTATACAAATATGTGACCCTTTTATGCCTAGGGTAGACCTATCAATTTGAAGGATGTATACGTCATTTAAAATATTTCATTGCCCCAAAATTTAAATTTATACAAATTTTATGAATAAAACCCAATGGGAATACATAATAGGGGAAATGTATACAAGAAAATCAGGCACGCAGGGGTACGACCCTAAACTATGCCTCCACAAAAAATCCTTCTTCTTTCTTGGCTTTTTGTAATCTTCAGGTGCCAACATCTTCGAATAGGCTAGTAGTTTGTGAAGCTCTTTCTTTAACTTATATAAACAATAATCTAATCCTTACCCTTTGAGACAATGATTTTCTCAAACAACGTATACATCCTTCAAATCTAAACACATAAGTATGAACATCCATTTAGGTCGTGGGCCATTTTGGACTCAAGGTGGTCTTCGAAATGGGCACAACACGCCTTGGGTGTTGGTCATCTTAGGCTGATGCTTAAATTCGGATTTGGTTTTTCTTTATCCTAGGATGACTAGAATTGGTATAGAAGAGACGGTTACCCGAGTCGGACAGACAGCGGGGTGAAGCTAATAAACGACGTTGGATGACCGCAAGCCAACTATTCATTTATTACTTCCAAAGATTAGACTTGTGTTTTTCTGAAGGAAGTCGTGGTAAGCCATGTAACTTCCTTTGTCCTAATGCAAACTATTTGTCATTTGACGGAAATTATGCCATGAAATGCAATGATAATATACACAAAATAAAATGAATAATGAATAAATACAATATACAAATAATTAGCAAAATAAAAATACAAGCTATAACATAATAATAGAACAAAAATTTCCTCAATTTGAAAAAAAATTAAATTCATATTGGTTAAAACCTCTAAACTCCCCAGCGAAGTCGCCATTCTGTTTACATCCCTACTCTGGTAAAATAGGGCAAAACATCGCGATAACTCAAAAATAATTAATTGATTCAATTTTAACAATGTTTTAAAAATAAACAAGTTTTAAAAAGAGTCGCCACCTAATTTTTAGGAAAACTAGAAAACTGATTATTAATCTACGAAACCAAATTGATTCTAGGTAAGGGGTTTAAGTTATTCCAAAGGGAAGGGGTTAGGCACCTTTCGGAATCCACAAATGTGGTTTCCGACTGAATTCATTTTTTTCAAATTGAGGAAGAATATAAATTAATGTACAAGTATAATAAACATTCAATATGCACAATAAAATAAAATAATAATTATCCACCTAAGATTTCACTAACGTCAATATTTACAATAATGAAATAAAAGGAGAAGCACCTCCGGGTACTTGCAAACACATTTAGTATAAGTGTTAGTAAAGAATAAATATGATAAAAATTGAATAAACCAAATAATAACTAAAAATAAAAAATCCGTCTTATTAACATGGAAGGCCTTGGAAATCGACGATAATTTCTTCATCGGCCAATTCAAACAACTAAAATTATATATAAACTTTAAATTAGATTTCCGTCTTTAAAAATGAGAAGGCCTCTAAACCCGACGGATAGATTTTTCATTGGCCACTTTAACAATAAAAATATTAACTTCAATTAAATTTCCGTCTTTCAAAATGGAAAGGCCTCTAAACCCGACAGATAGATTTTTCATCGGCCCTTTTAACAATTTATTCCCTCAATATTAAGTTAACAAAAAAATTAAAAGTAAGAAATAATCAAAATAATCCTAATATTGACCTTTAAAAATATTTCCCAGTGAAAGCTAACTATAACAACTCTAAAAGACTCAACAGAAAAAAGGACAACTTCATTGGTTTAGCACCAAGTACAATTTTTACACCAACAAATATTAAGAATAAACAATAACAAGTAAACCATTAACAGTGATTAAGAAAGTTTTATGGCAACATCAAAAGTAAATAATTAATAACATCAATAAAGTAACCTCATATATAACCAAAGCATTACCGGAAAATTTTTTATAAACTTTGCAAAAAAAAAAGTAATCGCATGAGTTGTAAACTCGAACATTAAAATGAAAGAAAAATATCTCAAACCACCATATAATTAATGACCATACATATTATATTAGCATATAAATTTTAAATCTGAAAACTTAAATAAGATAAGATAAAAGTGACACAAATAAACAAAAGAAAGGATTCTAGCAATAGCATATGTATCATTTTTATTAATAACAAAATAAAACTAAAACCAATTAGTTAATAATTATAACCCACCAATAGAGAATCAAAAGAATTGAACACAAACAAATTATAAACTTTTAACTACGAATATGAAATTACCCATTAATATAACTAAGTGAACATCACAACCAACAAAACAAAACAGATAAACAGAGCAAGAATAAAATTACTTAATGTAAACCACCACAATTTTTTTTAAAAAAAATGAAAACATAGTATAAGTTTTGTAAAATAAGAAAAAAGTAAACATTAGGCGACTGACCTTTTCGTTTGTCAATGGAGTTCTTAGACGAAGATGCCATACCCAGATTTCTCTGCCAATCAAAGCCATTACAGCAATCCAATTCCTATTCGAAAACTCAAACATGTTCTCTGTACCAACCCGGAATCATCATCTCCATCTCTTCCGCTAAACTCAAAACTCAACAAACCAACATTCTTACTATCAATGCTTAAAACTAAAACTAAGCTCCTTCATAGAACATAGTAAAATAACTAATGCACAGCTTCAAACAACGGACAACCTCCATTCTTTGGAGCTGCCAGAGAGATGGACAGCGATGATAAAAAGCAGCAGTTTCAACCAAGTAATCACAGTAGGCATCTTTCTGCGCTTCCTTTTCAATTTCCTCATACGCTTCTTCTTCCACTTTGCCCTCATGCTTGCTCAAAATTCACCGCCGACTCTCTTCTTATCTCGTCTTCCGCCGCCTCTTTCTTTGGTGCTACTGCAACACCTTTCTTTGGAGCCATTTTTGCGGGAGAGTGGCGATATGGGTGATGGCTGGTCGGAGGGAGAAGGAGATGGAGTTTGGGGTTTTGTTGTTTTTTTATGGAGGAACGATTAGGTGGTGGATGGAGGAGTGAGAAGGGGAGGAAGAAAGAGGAAGGCGGCTGGAAGAGGGAAGAAGGAGTGAGAGAAGGGGATGGGGAGAGGAAAAGGAATGGGACGACGGGAGATGGAGGGGGAAGGGAGAAGAGTAAGAGGGAGGGTGAGAGGATGGCTGGGGGGTGTTTGGAGGAAGGGGAAGGGGCTGCTGGAGAGGAAGGGACGAAAGGGAAGGGGCTGCTGGGAGAGGAAGGGACGAAAGAGAGAATGGAGGAGATAGAAGAGAGGAGAAGTGGGAGAGTTTTTTTTTAGGGTTTTCTTTTCTTTTCTGAAAATTCCTCCCCCCCCCCCACACCTTTTTGACCTAGTTAATAACTTAAATAAAAAACACAAAATGGGCTCAAATGAAGGGCTTAGCATTGTGGCCTAAAATTATGAATTTTTAAAAATGTTAGGCCAAAATTGGGTGTCAACAGCTGTCCCTTTCGTTGTTTATGATTGATTAAAGAAATCGTGGACAACGAAAATTGACAAATCCAATTTTGATCAAACACATAACCTTTGTAGAGAATTGTGGTTGCATGTGGTCGAAGTCAATCCCAGACCTGTCTCCAATGGTTCATTGATGTGTTGCATCCTTGTTGAAGTAGTTTGCACCTTTTCTTCTTCTTTGTTTTTATTTTTTTTAATTGATTTTTTTTGAAAAAAATTCATCCTTCCGAATGCTCTTGACAAAGACTGGGATTAAACTCGTCAGCTTAAAAAAGCAATTTAAATGGGAGACAGTGTCTTCCACCGTATCAACACTCAATTTCTCTCCTCGGCACTTAACGTCAGTTGACGTTGATTCAGATGCACAATTCTTTTTCTCACAGCGCATAATTGCTTGCGGGGCATGAATATCTTTCCGCGATGCGCAAATTTTGCGAGGGATGGAATCTTCTCGCGATGTATGAAATTTTGCGAGGGATGGGATCTTTTTGCAATGCATAAAATTTTGCAAGGGATCAAATCTTCTCGAGATGCATAAATTCCGCAAGGTATGAAATCGTCTTGCGATATGTAAACTTTTGCGAGGAATTGAATCTTCTCGCGATGCATGAAATTTTGCGAGTAATGAAATCTTCTCGCAATGCATAAATTCCGCAAGGTATGAAATATTCTTACGATATGTAAACTTTTGCGAGGAATTGAATCTTCTCGTGATGCATAAAATTTTTCGAGGGATGAAATCTTCTCGCGATGCATGAATTCCGCAAGGTATGAAAACTTCTTGCGATATGTAAACTTTTGTGAGTAAGTGAATCTTCTCGCAATGCATAAAAAATTTAACTTGCGATGCATGAATATTAATCCGCGATGCATGAATATTAACTCGCAATGCATGAATTGACTCTTGATGCATGAATATTAACTCTCGGTGCATGAATTAACTCTCGATACATGAATATTAACTCTCGATGCATGAATTAACTAGTGATGCATGAATTTTCTGCGAGGTATGGAATCTTTTCGCAATGCATGGAATTTTATGCGATGTATGGAATCTTCTCGCGATGCATGAATTTTTTACGAGGTATGAGATCTTCTCGCGATGCATGAATTAACTCTCGATGCATGAATTGACTCTCGATGCATGATCTTCTGCGGGGCATGAATATCTTCCCGCAATGTATAAATTCCGCAAGGTATGAAATCTTCTTGAGATGCATACATTTCTGCGAGGTATGAAATCTTCTCGAAATGCATGAATTTTCTGCGATGCATGAAATTTTCTCACAATGCATGAATATTAATTTATGATGCATGAATATTAACTCCCAATGCATGAATTAACTCGCGATGCATGAATATTAACTAGTGATGCATGAATTGTCTCTCGATGCATGAATATTGACTCGCAATGCATGAATTAACTCTCGATGCATGAATATTAACTCTCGATGCATGAATTTTCTGCGAGGTATGGAATCTTCTCGCGATGCATGGAATTTTCTGCGAGGTATGGAATCTTCTTGCGATGCATGAATTTTCTGCGAGGTATGAAATCTTCTCGCAATGCATGAATTTTCTGCGAGGTATGATATCTTCTCGCGATGCATGAACATTAAATCGCAATGCATGAATATTAACTTTCGATGCATGAATATTAACTCGTGATGCATGAATTAACTCTCGATGCATAAAAATTAACAAGTGATGCATGAATTGACTCTCCATGCATGAATCAACTAATGATGCATGAATTCCGCAAGGTATGAAATCTTCTTGCGATGCATACATTTCTGCGAGGTATGAAATCTTCTCGCAATGCATGAATTTCTGCGAGGTATGAAATCTTATCGCGATGCATGAATATTAACTCGCAATGCATGAATATTAACTCGCGATGCATGAATTAACTCTTGATGCATTATCTTTGTAGTTGCTATCAAGCTTCTCATAGCACTTATCAGAATTTTGAGATCCTCCTCAAAATTTTGTCCCAGTTAGAATTATGGCAAGTCTCAAAATGATCTTCAATCTTGACTTGTTGGCTATCTCTATTGTGAATTTTTGAAATATCTTCAAAAATTATGTCCAAGTTTTTATTGTAATGAGAAGTAATAATCACACTGGTATATGACCGAGCCATCGTGGCACCTACATATCCTATTGAAACAGGAATCAGGTCAAATGTATTTCCAATCTTGTGGATGATTAGTGCTGCAAATAATCTGAAAGATTGTCAGTAAAATATGAACAATATGAACATGATGGAATATGCAAATGGTATTCCTTGCTATATTCAAAGCCTAAAACAAGACATATCATATTTTGGGGATGGACAACCCAATGAAGTAAAATAGGCGTCTCACACATATAAGATTAACTCAATGACACCTTTTATAATGAACAACTCAAAAGGCAATTTTTTTTTCAAAAAAAAAATGTGAGGAGATAGTCAAATCTTCACCACGATTGGTACCAACAGTTAGGATTGTAGGTAAATCTCCCATTCTTTTTTTTTAATACTGAATTTAGGTAATTCCTACAGTTTCAAGTGGTTCCTCAAATATACTTAAGGATCAACAAGATCTGTTCATGTTGTTTCAAACAAAGATTTTGAATTGTATCAATCCTCATGTTTCAAGTGCCCTCACGACAAAGGCTAGTCCTATTTCACACATATTTGAAACATTTTATTATAGGAAATTTTTCAAAGTGCACTCACACTCACAAGAATGTTCAATGTACACAACTGTGATACCATATGCTTGACCCTTATGTAAATCTCCACTAATGTGAGAACGTTTGGAATGAGATCATGTAGGGCTTGCAATTGGCTTGTAATGTAGGCTTAGGGATGGATAGGATATTTATTTAAAATAAAAGTGATTGAATTCCTCCTTGAAAATCACACAAAATTTGTGCTCTTAATGATTGGTACGCCTTTGGCGTTAGATCCTCTTCATTGTTCTCCGCCATCTCAAATTCTTTTGAATTCTCATTTTTAACGTTTTTCCCTTCCTTATTTTTTTTTTTTTTGAGCTTTTCTCTTCATCTCTTCTTTTTTTCTTCTTCTTCTTTTGAGTGCTTATTCGTTGGAGCTTTTCTTTTATTCACTTCTTTATTATAATATTTTTTCCTTTTTTTGTTGGAATATTTTACTTCCCACCTTTCACTGATCCTGTAAAGGAAGTTTTTGCCTTTCTTTATTTCGTCCACTTTTTTTGTCTCTCCTTTTAACTAGAGTCTTTGCTTCCTTGATTTTGGGGAGACTCAATATCTTTGCTTTTTGAAATTTCAAACATGGATCTACTCTTATGATTTGCACATTCTTGGTGCTCTCAAGAAGGTTGAGCCAAGAGAGGATAGTGCTTGTAAGCACTCAAAAGGGTAGTGGTTAAGATTTGGTTGTCCAAATGAAGGTTTCAGGTCAAAATGGAAAAGCTAGGGATTAATGTAATTTGGTAGGCTTTGAAAGGCACAATCGAGTCAAAGAAGGCCTACAATTCTTTCTCAAACCAAACATTACTCATAATTTCGCCTCGAAAAACATTCAGGTCCAGTTCTAGATCAACAGTGTAACACAATTGAACTTTGATCAAAATCTCACCACACAATGCACATGAAACATAAGGTTAGTTTTATTCTTATCTTGATTGCATGCAAGAGAATATTCAAGCATCACAAAAGTACAGATAAGAGGTACAACGAAAATCTGTAGTTTACCACAAAGTCAGTCTTTTCAATCATATAGAATATATTTACATGCTCTTAACCACATAGGTCCCAACCGAGCTGAACATATGACTCTTACAGTATGTACAAACAAAAATAGAATTTTTTTTTAAGAATGATACACCGAACCCAAGAAGGGTTGCCTACGTATCTCATTAACATGAGAATCAAGTGTGCGTAGTTCATGTAGATATGACTTGAAAAATATGCATAAACTATTTTTTTTAAAAAAAATTTGATGAAGATAATACCGAACCCAAGAAAGGTTGCCTACGTTTCTCATTAAAATGAGAATCAAGTACGCGTAGTTCGTGCAGATATGACTTGAAAAATATGCACAAACTATTTTTTTCAATTTTTTTTTATTTGAAAAAAGATAATACCGAATCCAAGAAGAGTTGCCTAGGTATCTCATTAAAATAAGAATCAGGTATGCGTAGTTCGTGCAGATATGACTTGAAAAATATGCACAAACTATTTTTTTTATTTGAAAAATATAATACTGAACCCAAGAAGGGTTGCCTACGTATCTCATTAAAATGAGAATCAGGTACACGTAGTTCGTGCAGATACGACTTGAAAAATAGGCACAAACTATTTTTTTTATTTTTTCTTTAAAAAGATAATATCAAACCCAAGAAGGGTTGACTAAGTATCTCACCGAAATGAGAATCAGGTGCGCGTAGTTCGTCCACATAAGGCATATAATAATTTAACGATTTAGACAACTTACAGAAATTCCTAGGTCTAACGCCACTGAATTCGCAATCATGAAGTGTTTTTTTTCCGCACCAATATGTTTTATAACCTCTTAATCGTCAATATTTATACTGTTTGTTGAATGTAACATACTAATTTCTACATTAATGATTTGTTGTACTCTTTTAGATGTTTTCTTGAATCGTTGTCTTCTTCCAATTTTCACGAGATCCAGATATTGTTATGACCATCCCCGACATATATCGGGGACGGTATCCCTACCAAAATATGAGAAATATGTGAGAGCAGGATCATCATACAAAATAATAATAAAATAAGTGGATGCCACTTCATAGTCAAATATTCCCCTGATTTATCATTTTGACTAGATATTAACGTCTTTTGAAATACAAGGACACGAATTTCTCTAATCCTCTTGTCTCTTGCGACTTCGGACAAATAATGATTTCATGAATTTGAACATAAATTAATTTTTCGCTGTAAAGAAGAACAACTCAAAATGTAAAAGTGTTAGTTCCTGTACATAATGAATAATGCAAAATATCACACAAATAATGAATAAAACACATAAATACTGTTTTAATTAAAGACAAACTGAATATATCACATAACATACAAACAATTATTGCGCGTCCTATACAAATATGTGGCCCTTTTATGCTAGGGTAGGCCTATCGATTTGAAGGATGTATACGTCATTTGAAATATTTCATTGCCCCAAAATTTAAATTTATACAAATTTTATGAATAAAACCCAATGGGAATACATAATAGGGGAAATGTATACAAGATAATCAGTCTCACGCAGGGGTACGACCCTAAACTATGCCTCCACGAAAAATCCTTCCTGTTTCTTGGCTTTTTGTAATCTTCGAATAGGCTAGTAGCTTGTGAAACTCTTTCTTTAACTTATATAAACTATAATCTAATCCTTACCCTATGAGACAATGATTTTCTCAAACAACGTATATATTCTTCAAATTTAAACACTTAAGTATGAACATCCATTTAGGCCGTGGACCATTTTGGACTCAGGGTGGTCTTCAAAATGTGCACAACACGCCTTGGGTGTTGGTCATCTTTGGCTGATGCTTAAATACTAATTTTGTTTTGCTCTATCCTAGGATGATTAGAATTGGTATAGAAGTGACGGTTACCCGAGTCTAACAGACAACGGGGTGAAGCTAATAAATAACGTTGCAAAGATTAGACTTGTGTTTTTCTGGAGAAAGTCGTGGTAAGCCACGTAACTTCCTTTGTCCTAATGCAAACTATTTGTCATTTGACGGGAATTATTTCATGAAATGCAATGATAATATACACAAAATAAAATGAATAATGAATAAATACAATATACAAATAATCAGCAAAATAAAAATACAAGCTATAACATAATAATAGAACAAAAATTTCCTCAATTTGAAAAAAAAATCATATTGGTTTAAACCTCTAGACTCCCCAGCGGAGTCGTCATTCCCTACTCTGTTGAATTAGGGCGAAATGTCGCGGCAACTCAAAAATAATTAATTGAATCAATTTTAACAATGTTTTATAAATAAAAAAGTTTTAAAAAGAGTCGCCACCTAATTTTTAGGAAAACTAGGAAACCGATTATTAATCTACGAAACCAAATTGATTCTAGGTAAGGGGTTTAAGTTATTCCGAAGGGAAGGGGTTAGGCACCTTTCGGAATCCACAAATGTGGTTCCCGACTAAATTCATTTTTTTTTAAATTGAGGAAGAATATAAAATAATGTACAAGTATAATAAACATTCAATATGCACAATAAAATAAAATAATAATTATCTGCCTAAGGTTTGCCAAACGTCAATATTTACAATAATGAAATAAAAGGAGAAGCACCTCCAGGTACCTGTAAACACACTTAGTAAAAGTGTTAGTAAAGAATAAATATGATTAAAATTGAATAAACCAAATAATAACTAAAAATAAAAATCCGTCTTAATAACATGGGAGGCCTTGAAATCGACGGTAATTTCTTCATCGGCCAATTCCAACAACTAAAATTATATATAAACATTAAATTAAATTTCCTTCTTTTAAAATGGGAAAGGCCTCTAAACCCGACGGATAGATTTTTCATTGGCCACTTTAACACTAAAAATATTAACTTCAATTAAATTTTGGTCTTTCAAAATGAAAAGGCCTCTAAACCTGACGGATAGATTTTTCATCGGCCCTTTTAAAAATTTCTTCCCTCAATATTAAGTTAACAAAACAATTAAAAGCAAGAAATAATCAAAATAATCCTAATATTGACCTTGAAAAATATTTCCCATTGAAAGCTAACTATAACAACTCTAAAAGACTCAACAACAAAAAGAAACAACTTCGTTGGTTTAGCACCAAGTATAATTTTTATACCAACAAATATTAAGAATAAACAATAACAAGTAAACCATTAACAGTGAATAAGAAAGTTTTATGGCAACATCAAAAGTAAATAATTAATAACATCAATAAAGTAACCTCATATATAGTCAAAGCATTACCGGAAAATTTTTTATAAACTTTGCAAAAAAAAAAAAGTAATCGCATGAGTGATAAAATCGAACATTAAAATGAAAGAAAAATATCTCCAACCCCCAAATAATTAATGACCATGCATATTATATTAGCATATAAATTTTAAATCTGAAAACTTAAATAAGATATGATAAAAGTAACACAAATGAACAAAAGAAAGGATTCTAGCAATAGCATATCTATCATTTTTATTAATAACAAAATAAAACTAAAACCAATTAGTTAATAATTATAACCCACCAATAGAGAATTAAAAGAATTGAACACAAACAAATTATAAACTTTTAACTATGAATATGAAATTACCCATTAATATAACTAAGTGAACATCACAACCAAAAAAACAAAACAGATAAACAGAGCAAGAATAAAACTACTTAATGTAAACAACCACAAATTTTTTTTAAAAAAATGAAAACATAGTATAAGTTTTGTAAAATAAGAAAAAAGTAAACATTAGACGACTGACCTTTTCGTTTGTCAATGGAGTTCTTAGACGAAGATGCCAAATCCAGATTTCTCTTCCAATCAAAGCCATTACATCAATCCAATTCCGATTCAAAAACTCAAACCCGTTCTCTATACCAACCCGGAATCATCATCTCCATCTCTTCCGCTAAACTCAAAACTCAACAAACCAACATTGTTACTATCAATGCTTAAAACTAAAACTAAGCTCCTTCATAGAACATAGTAAATTAACTAATGCACAGCTTCAAACAACGGACAACCTCCATTCTTTGGAGCTGCCACAGAGATGGACAACGATGATAAAAAGCAGCAGTTTCAACCAAGTAACCACAGTAGGCATCTTTCTGCGCTTCCTTTTCAATTTCCTCATACGCTTCATCTTCCACTTTGCCCTCGTGCTTTCTCAAAATTCACCGCCGACTCTCTCTTTATATCGTCTTCCGTCGCCTCCTACTTTGCTGCTACTGCAACACCCTTCTTTGGAGCCATTTTTGCGGGAGAGTGGCGATATGGGTGATGGCTGGTTGGAGGGAGAAGGAGATGGGGGTTTGGGGTTTTGTTGGTTTTTTATTGAGGAACGATTGGGTGGTGGCTGGAGGAGTGAGAAGGGGAGGAAGAAAGAAGAAGGCGGCTGGAAGAGGGAAAAAGGAGTGAGAGAAGGGGAAGGGGAGAGGAAAAGGAAAGGGACCACGGGAGATGGAGGGGGAAGGGAGAAGAGGAAGAGGGAGGGTGAGAGAGCGGCTGGGGGGTGTTTGAAGGAAGGGGAAGGGGCTGCTGGAGAGGAAGGGATAAAAGGAAAGGGGCTACTGGGAGAGCAAGGGACGAAAGAGAGAATGGAGGAGATAGAAGAGAGGAGAAGAGGGAGAGTTTTTTTTAGGGTTTTCTTTTCTTTTCTGAAAATTCCTCCCCCCCCCCACCTTTTTGACCTAGTTAATAACTTCAATAAAAAACACAAAATGGGCTCAATTGACGGTCTTAGCATTGTGGCCCAAAATTATGAATTTTTAAAAAAGTTAGGCCAAAATTGGGTGTCAACAGCATGTAATCAGGAATTTTGACACAATTTTGTTGTTGATATTCATCACAGATCGTACCCATTTCGAGCATATAAGACTCTTCACCAGTGTTTTTATAATGATTTAACACATGTCCATGATTCACTGTTGTGAGTATAAAAGTGAACTTGGGAATTTAATAGAGTCAATTGTATATGTATTTCTCGTAATTTTCATTATGAAATAATGTTGTACTTAATAGGCATATTGTGTGGAATTAAGGGTTTTTAAGTAGTAATGATGTGTTACTTGGGTGAACCCAAAGCAGAGTTGCTAAATTAGTGAATCTTAATGTGTCAGCTGCAACTATTTTAGTTGGGGGTTTTAATGGGAAATTATTAAATAAACCATATTACTGAATGTCTTTGCAGTCACTAATTTAAGAGTGAGGTTCTTAGATATAAAAAGATAATTTATCATCAATCATCATGTTGATATGTTCATTGTGCAACACTGATGAATTCATTAGTCTCCTAAAGCCTCCCATCCCAATTAAGAGAACATCACCCCAAGTCTTTGCTGGCACTTGGGTGTTGAATTAATTTGTTCATACATGTTAATTATCTTTTTTCATAATCTTAACTTCTTTTATTAAGCAAGTCATAGTACATACTAGTTCTTGATGTTTGCAATCATTAAAAAAATATACTTACAGAAGAATCTTAATACACAGTAATAACCCCTTTCATGAGAAGAATTTATTAATATAAAGAATCCATTATCCTTGTTCCTACTCTAAGTTCCATTGCCCTTGTTATGAATTTTTTTGCTATACGAATAATTAAAAGTAATATAAACAACTAAAGAACATAAAGTTGCAAGAAAGTAAACTAAATCATTGATTAACTCAATTCCTGCAAGAGTACCTTGTTCATTCAACGATAATCCAACGATAATCTTCTAAAGTAGCTTGTATCAAAGACTTAATGAAAACTCTATTATAATCATAGTCCCTAACTTCTAATGATAATGTGTAACCCTAATAAATGTCTATCTCATGAACTATACATAATAGAAGAGTCAAAATCTAAATCATTGTTAGGCTTTGCTTTCACTTGGTCAACTGTAGATTTATAACATAGGGGGTGCGGTGGGAGACGTATTGGGGAGAAGGGGGTCCTATCACTGGTCTGCATGCCTATATGCAACTAATGTAGTCATTAATTCACCAATTCTTACTATCAAGTGCCTTCACCATTAAAGAAATCCCCTTCTCACTCATCATACAGATATGTATGACCAATTGGGGTCATGATATAATCAAACACACTCACTCTCATTTAGCACATGACAAACCATAAGCATTCCATTATTTTATTACCCAATAAGTCAAAGTACTAAACTGTGAGATTTCTTCTTTTTTTTTTATTTTTGGCAAGAACCCTACCATATACATTTCATTGTTAGAATTAATGAATTCACACCTTGATGTTTAGTATTTCAATATTGTCTCTTATTTTTTCAAGAAGTCTTCAGAATGTTGCAATACATGTATCTAGTAATTTGTGATACATGTATCTAGTTAATTGTCCAAGACTTTTTGTTTTTTATTTTGAGTAGTATAAATAGTGATGAAGTTGATGACTGTAATCGTCTCAAGTGATCTTAAGTATCCTATATAAAACTTGAACATTCTCTAAAAGATAGTATTCTCCTTCTATATTTCCTACAAATTGGTATCAAGATCAAATTTTTGTTCTTAATCTGGGGTTAGGTGAAGCAAAAAAAAAATATGGCATCCAAATCAAATGAAGGTGTTGATTCTTAAGTTGTTCTTACTCCATTTTTTTATGGAATCGATTTTCAATACTAGAAAATAAGAATGAGAACACATCTAAAAGCTGAAGGTTTGTGGACTATTGTTGTAAATGATTATCAAGATCCAGAAAACAATGGTGAACTTTCAGTAGCAAAGATGAAAAATCTTGAGCCTAAGTACCGTCAAGATACAAAAGCCTTAAGCAAAATCCAAATAGGAGTCTCAAGCGCATATTTTGCAAAAATTGCTACTTGTGAGACTTCAAGACAAACTTGGTAGTCTTCAGAAATCGAAGTGTATGGTGACAAAAAGGTACACACTATAAATCTTCAAACTATTAGAAAAGAGTTTCAAAATTTAAAGATGATAAAATCTGAAAAAATAGATGAATACTGCACAAGAGTCATGAATATTGTTAATGAAATGAGAAACCATGGTGATACAACGTATGACCAACAAGTTGTGAAAAAGATTATAATTAGTGTCACAGAAAAGTATGAGTACATTCTTGATATCACTAAGAAGACGAAAAATCTTTCTAGTCGGATCATTTCGTGTACACTAGAAACGAAGGTTTTTTCGTGAAAATCAACCCAAAGAGACGATTTTTCAGTCTATAACAAATGAGAATTCTCAAAATTTCTCAAAAGATTAACAAAAAAGAATTACAATCCAAAAAAGATGCAGGATCATGATGATTCTTCTAAAAAGGTTGAAGAAAAATGTCAGAAAATTACTAGTTTTTTTTTGTAAAATCTGCAAAAGGATTAATCACAATGCAGAAAAAAATTGACATAAAGGCAAGCTCCGACGTAACTTTTGCAAAAACAAATTGGCCACATATAGAATGATTGTTGGTACAAGCAATAGGAGCAAACATATTTCTCTAAAGATCAGGAGGAAGAAATGGACGAAAATCTTTTATTTGCTTCTCAATGTAATCTTTCAGCAAAAAGTAATGAATGGTATACTGATATGGTTGTAGCAATCACATGACTAGAGATGGAAAAGTTTTCATCTCAATTAATAGTAGCATCACTATTAAAGTGAGAATGGGGAATGTGGCCTTAGTTGATGCAAAGAGTAAAAATACCATTTCAATCAACATAAAAGGGAATGGTAAACAAATTCATAATGTGTTTTATGTTCCTAAATTGGAAGAAAATTTGCTTAGTGTTGGTCAATTCATGGAAAATGGTTATTCTCTTGTGTTTAGAGATAATTATTGCAAGATTTATGATAAAATTAAGTCAATTCAAGTCATTGTTGAAGTAGAGATGATAAAAAGAAAATTTCCTTTACAATGCATTCAAAAATGAAATTGTAGATAATTTATGGCTTTGGCACGAAAAATTTGGTCACTTGAATTTTTATGGTTTGAAGTTTATAAATCAAAAAGACATGGTTTCAAATATTTTTGAGATACATACTAAGAATAAGGTAGATAATACTACTATCATATCTTTAGATGTATCAAATCAAGAAGAGGACAAGGAACAGGAAGAAGTCCCTCAATGAGGAGAAATCTCATACCCATATGATGAAGAATCACTTTTAAGAGGTATAAAAATGTCGAGTGACATTTATCAACGATACAACTTTGTTGGTGTAAAGAAAGAAAATTGTGAGGAGACAATAAAGCATGATGTTTCGAAGAAAGCCTTGGGGAAAAAATTTGGAAGATTGAGAAAAATAATACTTGGGATTGTGTGAGTATACCCAAAGAGAGAGAAGTTGTAAGTCTAAAGTGGATTTGCAAAATGAAACTCAATCAAAAAGGAGATATTCAAAAATACAAGAGAAAGGCAAAATTCAGTTACAATCATTGTCAGACGAGAGAATAACTTGTTGATATCTTCACCACAACACTTCCAAGTGAAAAGTTTTATCATCTTCGAGAAGACATTGGAATTTTCAAGCAAATGCATTAAGGGGAGTGTTGGAATTAATGCATTCACACCTTGATGTTTAGTATTTCAATATTTTCTCTTAGTTTCTCAAGAAGTGTTTTAGAATTTGTAATACATATATCTAGTTAATCGTGCAAGATTTTTTTGTTTCTATTTTGAGTAGTATAAATAATGATGTAGTTGATAATTGTAATCATTTCAAGTGAACTTAAGTAGCTAAATAAAATATGAACATTCTCCACAAAATGTCCTACATTCACTACATATAAAATAACAAATATATAAGTTGGAGGGGGGCATCAAACCTAACCTCCTTTTACATCATAGAATACAAAAAATATCCTAATAGAGTTTATGATCAGAAAAGGATCTTAAGTCATTAATCTCCCATGTGATGCATCCAAATAAAACAACTACAATGTAACACACAGAAGAAACAAGCGAGCAAATGAATTTAGGAGGGACGCAGTGCCAGAAGAGTTAATGATCGGCTCTTATATAGTAGTAGCATACTTAGTAAGAGAATCTACAACTTCATTTCCTATCCTATAACAATGCTTTACAATTATGTTTCTTTGAGCAATCTTATTCTTGATGTCTTCAATGAGGTTGTGGATTCTCCAAGGTGGTTTACAACTCCCATTTATCATTTGAACCACTACTTGAGAATCCAGATCTACCTCCAACGCTTCAAACTATTGATCAAGACACCAAGAGATACCAATTAAAACTATTTGAGCCTCACTATAATTGCTAGTGTAGCATTGACTAGGGTATGAGAAAGCTATAATTATGTCCCCTATTCTATTTCTAACAATTCCTCCCGCTCTAGCTTTGTTTTGGTTTCTCACGTAACTCATATTGGTACAGTGTTGAGCTTCCAATTATTTCCATTAAGATTGTTCCTCAGTATATAATCCTGCTTGTGATTCCAATTTAAAGTTTTCCTCCATAAGATATACTTTGCTCCAATTCCAGGTGTAATCTACGAATTTGAACTTCTTTCCAATAGTTGTTTTAACCTGAAAAATAATTTGAAGCATATGTTAGAAGAAGTAGCTTTTTTCTTTTCGTATCTCTGATTTCCCAACATGCCATAATAGGAGTGATGAGAAAAATATATTTGTGGAGGTTGTTTTTTGAATCGATTTTTCCTCCACCATTGTCACACGTACAATTGAGTTGAATGTGTTTGCTGTGATATTGAAACCAAGTGGTCTATATATTTGGGACAAGGTTTGCTTGGCCATGACACTAACTGCAAATAGATTGTTATTTGTAGTTTTGATGATTTGACAAACTTGGGGACCTTGTAAAGGTACCAGTTCTTAAGTGAGTATTGCAGGGTTCTTGCTTGAGTATTATAGATGAAACAAACCCAGGGACCTAGTAGAGGTACCAGGCTCTCATGATGAGGAGCCAGTTGATTGCCAGCTGGAGACGGTACAGAAAGTAGGTTCACACTTCCCGATGGCGTCAGAAAGTGTGACTTTTCCAGCCAATGGCAAAGAGGTTTAGGAGAGTGACTTGCCATATAAAAGACACTTTCCTAAACATTTTGTTCAGTTTTTGCGACTTGATAAAAACCTTTCAAGAACTCTTGCAAAGGCTACCACAAAGCAAAGACAATTATTCCAAGAACAACAGAAATATCTGGAGCTTTTTGTCTAGTTGTTTAGGAATACATTCTCTTGTTCTTAAACTGTAAACCAATCCTTAATCTATAAAGGAATTGGTGTGTTGCTTTAGAAG